GGATGATAAGATATGGCTACTTTGTCGCAATATCAAGACTACTCGTGATAAGTTGGACTATCAAAAATTTTGACCATTTTCTATTTCTCCACAAATCAATCCAGTTGCATATCATTTACATCTATCGGAGTCAATGAAAATCCATCCAGTATTCCACGTGTCTCTTCTTGAACCATACAAGATAGTGGACATACCAAGAAGACAACAAGCTCCACCTCCTTCTATAGAAGTGGACAATAATGAAGAGTTTGAAGTAGAAGAAGTCTTAGATTCGAGGCGGTGCCAAAATAAATTGGAATATCTTGTCCATTGGCATAGATATGTTGTTAGTGAACGCACATGGAAGCCAATAAAGAATCTTATAAATGCAGCAAAGGCGATGGAGGCTTTTCATCGACGACATCCATCAAAATTAAGATAAAAATCTTCTTTATAAAAGAAACAACATCTAGGCAAGATAACATTCTACTTTCAATCCTTGTTCGTAGCTTCTTTGTAGTTGTGACGTTGAAGAGATGAAGAAGCAACAACCAGCGAATTTGATTCAAGAGCCTTTATTTGCTGACCTATCGGACGAGACATTATGATTGCCACAACTTTGAAGATGACGCAATCTAGAAGAAGATCTTTAAGAACAACATGTTCTTCCTTGAATAGAGGGCGAGATACAATGCGTTTGGTATCATGATTTGGGAAGGGACTCCCAATGTTTGGTGATTTTGCTAGGGGTAGGAACAACTCTTGATGGTGTTCCAAATATTTTATTGGAAGGAAGTTATGAAGGCCTCAACAATGATCAAATAACTGGGTGGTCTTCTAGCCCTAGTATGGGACACTATTGATGGTTGAGAGGCCCTATCAATCATCTTCGAAGAGAAGAAAGACAAGAGTATGTGGCAAATATAATTTGTCGCATCATAGATTTGTTCAACATATGATGACCGTTCCTCATAGAACTCATCCCTAGAAGGGGTGGTAATGTCAGGAACATATTCATGTACGCTAGTAATTACATATACAAATAGGTGGAAGTAAGTTAATTCTATAGTATTTAATATGGAAGCTTCCTAGAAGCTTTATAGACGCTGCTTTGACTTCATAGGTGTCTTTAATTGACTTTTTGGATTAGAAACATAGTCAACAAGTTGGCCATGTGCCACACATGTTGTTAGCTTGAAGATCAAGCTAACTATGTCGCCTACATGTAGAAAAACTTGCCTTGTAAGTCAAGGCATGTGTACTACAAAGTCAACACATATTGGAGGTCCTATAGAATGTCGCCATGTAGCCCCTAGTTAAATAGTATATATAGAAACAAGAGTGAAGCCTTCTTCACTCTTGTCAACTCCTTTTTTGCTTCCAATCTAGTTTCAAGGGTCTCTAGTTTTCTTGTCTTTTGGCAATAGCCATTCTAGTTTCTCTTTCAATATACATACTTGTTTATTTATATTTTGTTACCTTTCTTTGAATGAAGGCTCACTTATCTGAATTACTTTTTTGTTGAGTTCTTGTCCTTGACAGAAAGATATGATGTTGAACAATGTTAGAAGTTATATGGTGTCATGGACAAATCCTTGTAAGCCAATAATTATATGTATAATTAGGTAGAAATAAATAAAAGTAGACAAAAATAAATTAATTCTATAATATCTTCTATAGAAGCTTCTTAGAAGTTGCTTTGACTTTAAAGGTGTCTTTAATTGACTTTTTGGATTAAAAGCATGGTAAACAAGTTGGCCATGTGCGACACATGATGTTAGCTTGAAGACCAAGCTAAATACAAGGTTTAAGGATTTAGAGTTCAGGGTTTAGGATTACAAGAGTATCCTAGAGGTTTTTGATCCTATATATCTCTTAATGTATCACAGTTTTTTTCATTCTAAAATTTTGCTAAGCCTTAAATTGTTCCAAAGATCTTTATAAATGTTTTTGTTTCTCAAAAATATGTGTTTTATTTTTTATAATTTAGGGTTTAGGAACCCTAATTAAGGTTTGAAGACCCTACTTCGGAATTTGAATTTTATATTTATTATCATGTGAGAACTCTGTATAGAGTTAGAATGCATACCAAATTTTGTTGCGCCAAAATAAATCCCGGATGTGTTGCATCACAAATTTTGTCGTCTAGGCTGACTAGATGGATTGTAGGTTGTGGGTCTTAGGATCTTAGGGTTTGAGTGTCTTAGGATCTTAGAATCTTAAGGATTCATGGATTTAGGATTACAAGGGTGTCTCATAGGTTTTTGAAGCTAAATATCTCACAATTTATTATTTTTTTGATAGTTTTGAAATTTTGCTAAGCCTTGTATCATCACAAAGACCTATACAAAAACTTTTGTTTCTCAAATTCATGTTATTTTTTTTTTTATTATTTATTTTATTTTGTAATTTAGAGTTTATAAATCCTAATTAGGATTTTAAGATCCCAATTAGAAATATGAGTCTCATCAGGATCATCATTGATTGTGTCAAGTTCAACTCCATCTTCAAGTTCTACGGCACTCCAATAGGCAACATCCGTGCCAATCCCTAATGCATCCTTGAGTGTAGCCACCAATGCTCTCTTGCTGCTGCTCTCTCACTCTAGTGCTACCTAAAGCCCTCGATGCTCTCTTGTTCTTGTCCTCCTGCTCTTGCGCTACCTAAGACCCTCGATGCTCTCTTGCTCCTATTCGCTCGCTCTTGTGCTACCTGAAGCCCTTGATGCTGTTTAACTCCTGCTCTTGTGCTCCTGCGCTATTTGAGTGCAATCTCCAAGCCTGCGCCACTTACTGCAGCGACATTCCAAATTGTGCAAAATCTAACATTAACACGTTCGCTAATGATCCAACATTCACTGCCCAATCCTCAACCGACTCCAACGAAGACAGTAAAGAGCTTAGCGACAGTAGGTACTATGCGTGCCTGACCAACATTGAACTAGGTAATGAATTCTGCGATGCCACATATCCTGCACCCAAGTGGGCCGAACTCTAGGACCCCAACGATTGGCTCAGACCGTGACCTCCTGATGCTCCGTCTTAAGACAAACTCTCGTACCTGAATGTCCCATCGCAGCTCGCCGCTGCACCAGCTTGTGACGATCCGTCATGATCCTCTCCGCTTCGACCTCACATCGTCACTGTCTGTGCCATTGCTGCATGTGCCGCCGCAAGCAGCAATCGTAGATGTTTCGACATATGCACAAAAAACTACACCAGACAACAGCAATTCTACCCATCATTGTACGACTATGTCTGGTACTAAGCCAAATACTGCGAGCACTTGAACACTTTGTGCACAAACTCGCACACATCGTCTCTTTGAGAGCTCCCCTTTCGAAAGTCCAGACACGCCGTCCCCTAGTAATGGGACCGTCGTAGATTGCAATGCCTAGCTTTCTCACCCTAGTGGGCAAACGGGCCCTCCATCCAATCATGGCTCCTCCCTCTCATACATCGCCTCACCTTGAATTCAAACATCCAAAATTGATTGCACCCGTACATGTCCATCACTAACCATGCCTCATTGTCCTTATCGTTTAACGATAGAAACTTGTTGAATGGGGCATTGAAAAATATCTGTGATCCCATCGACAATTTCTTAGCCTCCAGCGGCGACGTCGATCTCAAGCTCAACCCTCACAAGTCTGCTCGACCTGCTCCTTTCCCACCTTCTCATAGAAACCCTCCTTAATGCTCCCCGCCTCAATCAGCGACTCCTCGTCCGCCAATGAAAACCCAAAAACTCATCCTTGCACACCAGTGAGCTCGACGGACTCGAAAAGAAATTGTTGAATGCATGCAACCTCATGCTATTTCTACCCCCAAAGATATGGCTCTTCTAGTATAGGCCATCCAACGTGCCATCTAGAAGCGGCTCTACATCGTGCATTGTCGAGGGTGAGAACAAGTTCAATCGTCGCATTGCATGTTGCGCTTGTACATGCTGAGACATAAGTACGAAGTCTACGATCGATTCATACAACGACAACGACGACAAACTTCTCCTGTCTAGTGATGCCAATTCTACCGCTCTGCTACTCATAAATGGTGATTGTCTTCCTCGCCCACGAACTGCAGCTCTTATTGTCTGTGCAATACTACCAACATTACATTGTTTCCCTCGTAAGCTCCCGCTCCTCGGTTGCATTTCATTGGCCAAAACTTTGTCTCTCCTAACCTCAAACTGCCCTCCAATCACTCACTCCCCTCTTTCTTTGCAAGCAAACCTAAACGATGTTCACTGAGACATGTGCCGCATTGTCTTGCTCTTCTGTGAAACTTGAGGCAGCCTTCAATCGAAAGACTAGGCGACCAGGTTTTGGGCAAGACCGCTGAAGGTGAAGGGGAATAAGAGTAGTATCTAGGGAATAGTGGCAATATGCGATGGACTGCGTCCTTGATGTGCCTTTCTCCGATGCAGGCACATGTGCCCAATTCTGGATGTAGATCGTGGGTGTAGATCGCGGGTGTGACCTCGTAGGTGATATCGAGTTCTATGAACCCGCATCTATGAATTGATAATTTTCACAGCATGGTTACCTTTGTGTGTTCAGTTGACAGTTTTGAGCTTCGACTTATCTTTAAATTTAGATAATTGTCAGTTATCTACTTACAATGGTTCGCGTCCTTACGAAAATGGTAGATGAGGGTGTTAGTTCGGGTGAAGGACGAGAAGGTTGCCTCTAGTTTATGACTCATGGCATCTAAGGTGGAAATTCTCTTTGAATGAACATATATGGACTCTTTGGGTGGAAATCATACTTTTTAAATGGAGGTGTAGTGGTGGCATTATTGAACTGGTATTGTTCTTTTGCAACTGGAACTGAAGCATAGCTCTAAGCGTTTTCAATCTTGATATTGGAAGTGCACAAAGGTGATATGGCGAGGGAGTTGTGTTTGACAACCAACATGGTTTGCACTCGCTGGTTATGCCATGAAAAGTGAGAAGTTTTTGAAGTGAGTCAGCAGGTGGGCAAAGTATGTGTGTTAGGGCTATATTGCTACTTATTGTAACACTTAACTATAAAAATGGTTTTAGTAGGTATTTTTATTTTATTTTTCTTTTGGATTTATATAACAATTGGATCTTATTTCAATGCTTTGATAGTTGCTGTGTACACCCTGCACTGAAGTGGGCCAAGCTCGAGTACCCCGACAAATGGCTCAATTGTGACCTCCCGATGCTCCGTCGTAAGACAAGCTCTCGTACCCAAACACCCCGTCGTAGTTCACCGCTACACTAGCTTGCGGCGACTCGTCGTAACCCCCTCCACTCCGACCTCCCATAGTCGTTGCTTATGCCGTCGCGGGCAGCAGTCGTAATTGCTCTGGCGTGTGCATGAAAAAATACACCGGACGAGGGCAATTCCGCCCATCCTTGTACGGTTGTGTCTGATACCGAGCCGGATGCATCCAACATTCAAACACTCCGTGCGCCAACTCGCATGCATTGCCTCTTCGACAGCTCTCCTTCCGAAAGTCCGGACATGCCATCCTCGAGTAATGGTGCCGTTGCAGATCGTGACGCCTAACTTTCTCGCCTGGTTGGGCAAACGGGCAATCCGTCCAATCGTGGCTTGTCTCCCTCATGCATCGCCTCACCTTGAATTCAAACATCCGGAACTAATCGCACCCATACATGTGCACCACCGACCACGCCTCATCGTCCTCGTTGTTTGATGGCAAAAACTTGTTGAATAGCGCATCAAAAAATGTCGGTGATTCCATCGACGATCCCCAGCCCCTAGCGGCGACGTCGGTTTCAAGCTCAATCCTCGCAGATTCGCTCAAAACGCTCTCTTCCCGCCTCCTCATAGAAGCCCCCTTTCTTGCTCCCTACCTCAATCAACGACTCCTTCGAATAGCTCCGGCTTAACGGACACTAGAGATCTAGAAGAGATGTTGTTAGCAAATATAACAAATCATGCTCGGAACTAGAGTGAAAGTTGTCACCAAACATAGCAATGCAAGCTTCGGCAGCTGGCAAACCTACCCAGAAAGAGAATCAGATAATAGATGACGCTATTGGAATTTGCCCAGCTTTCTCTTTGGTCAGGCTTAGAGCTGCAGCTAAAGCTACCTCGCCAGTACAAGCGATTCGGTTCTGAGCAAAAGATTCTTTTTTTTTCTTCTTTCTAAATTAAAAAAAAAACCCCTTGAAGTTGCGAAATTTCACTGGAACTCGAACATGCACGCTATGTTTGACAACATCATAAAAATTCAGAAATTATAAAATATGGAAACAAAAACAAAATTTGCGAGTGACTAGGTTTGGGATGAATTTTTGCTTTTTGACGGGTGTTCCCATGCAAAATGGCCACAGAAGATCAACAGCAACTGGGTGCCACACTCTGCTTCTGCTTTCCATACACCGTCTAAATGATACAGCCCATATCATAGACAAATATGTTAAAAAGCATCTCACCTGACAAAGGAGGCAGTCGTATCCAATACCAGTGGTCGCCTCCTTGGAATTCCAATTATACAAGAAATTCGAAGCCAAAGAGACGTGAAGCGTCAGAACAACATTACTTTATGGACTGCCCATCGATAATTCTGACACATGGAAACGTGAAAATAGCCAAACGAGGATGAACTGACAAGAACAAGCACCTCACAACGCAAGCCAATTTTCATGTGGGCTTGACCATGTCATTTTGCAAAGTCGATATAGTACTGAGCGAGAAATCAAAAGTACCTTGTTTGACACTTGTTGAACATAGGTCAACAAAACAATGGCAGTGCTTGCAAATTGCCCTGTTGCCACTTGGACAAATAGACACTCTTAGTCATCGACCTCCAGGGCCAACGGACCAGGTTTACACAGAATCATTTAACACAAACATTCAAAGTGGACAACTTAGGATGCTACTTGCCAGAATTTGCTATTGAAGTTGGCAGCAAGCAGAAATGACCACTGCCATTAAGAAGAGCTCTAACGGTTCCTGACAGCAGCACCCGAAGTTGAGAACAGTTATCCATACCACTTTGTCTGTGTTGTATCAGCCAGCAAATCCAAATGGCCAACTTCTACTGATGGCTCAACCGAAACACTTCACCTCCTAGAGCCGCTGTTGGCGTTATACTCTGCTTCCCAACCACGCCACATTTCATGAGCACAGGGATAAAATCTCGTGCCCTGCCAAGAGTGCAACTAACTTTGGCATAAACATAGATCAAATAGATCACATATGAGATGCAACTGTCCAGCCCGGAGGCGTTATGGGCATCATGCCTAGAGCTGCTCGGCACATCCGATACATTTGTACCTCCCAACACCATGAAATCTCAACCCAAATATGATTCTTACGTGTTCCAAGCAAAAAACAACCAAGGTCAACAGACAAGCTCCGGGCATTGAACCTAAATATAATTGAATTGTAAAAAGCATTGTTGCCTAGCTGTAATTGAGTCTAATAATCTTTTCCCTGCACATATCATTCAAGCGCAACTACGCCGTTAATTTCAAGGCAAGTTACCGAAACCATGCGGACAGTACATGATACAGTGGCCTCGTCCACCAAAAAGCAACTTCACTTTCTCCAGAAACCAGGTCGACGACATGGCGCAAAACGATGTAAGGTAATGGAACCAATCTTGTAGTCAAAATGGAACATTCCTTGTGAAAAGTGCAGTTCATTTGTAAGCTGTAACACCAATGGAAAGAGGCAAGCAGTTAGAATCAAGACGTGATAAGAAGAAGAATCACCATAACTGTATTTCCTAGCGCAAATGCCACTTGTACGCACGCACTAGTGTCGGTATTGTACTAGCAAAATATCACATCCAAAATTAAGTTACGCCCTAACGTCTTCTACAATTTCTTAGCTCAGTGTCCACATGAACTTTGTGCCCAACAACAAGACCAGAGAATGCCTATTGCAAAGAATCCACACTTGGGCGAACTTAACTACTATCAACGCGATACTAGCTAAAAGTCAAAAAACTAGCGAGTTGCGAAGACATCTCATCATTTACCTTTGCATTCACTTTTATTGAGAATCTATCGGTGAAGTCATACTTGATACTTCATTCGAACGCTCATACGACCGTCCTACAAAATACTTCCAATAAGCATCATCATCTGAGGTCACATAAGTCTCAACACCATCAACTACAGGCCACTTGATGTGGTCAACAACGGACGGATACGTTTTAAGCCACCAATCTCATCGAACATAATTCCCAGGATATAAGTACGAAAAGGTGAATTGGTTGTTGCAGGCATCGAGAAGAGCAACAGAGGAAAGGCAAGAGTATAACCCGTTGGTCGATAAGGTTTGCTCCGAATTCATGATGAGCCGCTGGAACTTTGATGATCTGCGCCCCTTGGAATGGCGCCTCCACTGAGCCATTAAACAAACTGCAACAATCAACAAGGCTGATCAAGTATGCTTTGCACATGCCATAGAAGCCCGACAAAAATTATTTCAGCTTCTCAACAATCCCTGGCATTATCCAGCGCATGACAAAATCCAGATGATGAATTTGAATATCAACAAACAGCTAGAACAAAGCTTTGACCCAAATAGAGAGGATGCAGCAATGACACGGAGGTGGCAAGAAAAGAGGCCGAGGAATATAGAGAAGATGAGACTAGAGTAAATTGAGTCAATCAGGAGAAGGAGAACGATCAGGGGAGGGAAGAATCCGACCTGGCAAAAACGGCGCCCATGGTGGAAAAATGGGCGAGAGAGAGGTGGAAGGGGTCGGAAGCAGGGAGCGGCGAGGGACGACCAGGGGGCGATCAACAGGACGAACGAGGCAAGGAGGACATGACCACCGTAGAGATAAATCCTCAACTCAGAGGGGCAGGACGAAGGAGGAGGGAATGATCCAACAGAGGTAGGAGGTTCAAAGAAAAGGAGGGTAAGGAGGGCAAGCAGTGCCAGACAGAAGATAATGTGTGTGTACGTGAGGATACAGTTGGAAGAAGAGAGATCTCACAGAGAATAGCCCTGCATGCAATTGTTAGTAGGGCGATCATCAAAAGTTCTCTCACACACACACACGCAGCGACGGCGATGACGACAATGACTGGCATCTCCCCCTCCCACACTTCATACCCTGCCATCCCCATCTCCCCTCCCCCATCATTCCCACCTTCCAAAATACCCTGATTGACCCCCTACCCTGATCATCGGGGTTTGTCTTTCCATGCCACACACTAATGCCTCTTACCTCCACCACCACCACAACTCAAACGCCAATTATGACTCAAATACCAATTACTTCCCGCTGCCTCTCGGTCCAATTAGCTACAATCCCAAAACACTAATGCACACATTTCCAACCAGGGTGTAGGAAGAAGGGTTTAGACAGCAGTACCGCAAGGTGTAAAAGTGGATCTTTGTCAATGGAAAACAAGAGGATTAGATATGATTCGTCAGAGTTGCAAAGAGGAGTGAAGGTGGATGCCCGCACTACACAAGGAATAAAATAACTAGCTAGGTCAAATATTTGTCATCGAGATGGTTTGTATCTTACAAACCTATTAGTAATTCATTATAAATGGGTGGTTGATTTAGTTGTAATGCCAATGGGATTTGGTCAGAGGAAATATTTGATACTTGCTCGAGAAGTTTTGACAAATCAAGTAGAGGGAAGAGCACTTTCAACAAAGACTACGGAAGGAGTATGTCGGTTTATATTAGAGGAAATTATTTGCTGGTATGGATATATTGGAAAAATCACTGCAGATAGAGGAAAATTAGATGCAAATGAAGCACTAGAGTTCTTTGAAAGGATGGGTATTAAACTTGCATTGACAACAGCATATAATCTGGAAGGGAATGGCAAGAGTGAACGTGGACATTCTTCGATTATTAAAGCATTGGTTAAAACATGCAAAGGAAAGATAAGTGATTGGCCTAAATTATTACCATTTACATTATGGGTGGATCGCACAACATATAGTACGATTACATGATACATGCCAGCAAAATTGATGTATGGTCAAAAACTGGTAATGTCGATAGAAGAGGTTGTATCAACATGGGCTATATTACCTTGGAAAGATGGTTTAACAAGAGAAGAGTTATTGGCATTATGAATTTGACAACTTGAAAGAAGGCCCGAGGACATTGAAGTAGCTGTAAGAAAGTTGAAAGAAGCGAGAGAAAAAAACAACGAGAGGTTTGACAAAAAGCATCGATTGCACCCAAAATCAATTCAAAATGGTGATTGGGTGTTGGTTTATGATAGTAGTTTGGACAACCAACATAATACGGCAAAGAAATATGTAAGGAGATGGTTTGGATCTTATGTTGTCAAACAAGTGCACGAGAATAGAACATACTTATTATGAGAACTAGATGGTACAGATTTAAAGATACCAATTAGCAGCCAAGCGAATTAAATTGTTTAATCAAAGAAGTAAAGATATTTGTTTTGATGAAGAAAAAAATCTAATAGGAGATATTGAGATGGAAGAAAAAGAGAAAAATAAAGATCAAGAATTTGACCAACATGAAGAACATTTACTATCAAAATAATGAAAGAACTTGGTGCATACTAGGTTTTAGGGTTTAGGGTTTAGGGTTTAGGATTTAGACTTCCAAATTTTACTTGCATCGTCAAAATCGAGCATTCAATAACTTTTAAAGTTTCAATTTTAATGAGGGGTTTGCATCAAACCCTTAGAACTATCGTAAAAAGTAGCAGATGTATCAGCAATATAATCCATCGACGCCATCGAAACAAGTTCCCTCCGTACAACCGGGACAACCACGATCATTTTTTAACCCTACATGGAATAAGCTTAATAGGTATATATCGATGGAGACATCTAATATGCCTGATGGGGGTACAAAAAGACCACTTTTTTGTTTTCGTTGTAGACAGATTGGCCATTATGCAAGTGAATGTTCCAATCCCAAAGCTAGTGATGATTATGCACCAATTTGTGGGAATTGCAAGTAATTGGGACATACATATTAGCAATGTAATGTTCCATTCAATGTCAATTATCAAAATCAGCAGATCCAAAGCTAAGGAAAAATTGAGGAGATAAATCAAGGTCCACAAGTTTCTCTAATAAATCAAATGGAATGTATCCAAGCCATTCTTATCAAGAGTGAGCAAAAGAAGAAAAGACCAATTCAACATTTGGGTGATCTTGATGCGAAGGGCTAATTTGACCCAATTATAAGTTCATCCAATCCAGGTCCTGTTACGGGCTTCTTATCCAATATGAGACCTGACTCAGTTGTACAACCCAATGAGATTCTAATTATGGAAGCTTTGATTTCATTCCAAGCAGTTCCATTTTCTACACAGTTTCAAAAAACATCTTATTTGTTGAAAGATCTTTTTGGGGGAGAGAATTATAAAGAAGCTCTAGTTGTTGTTCTAATTCTAAGTCCAAGACGGAAGAATATCTTATCTCACGGAGTTAAACTCAAACTAATGAAAAAAAAAAAGGCATTAGAAATTATTCTAAATATGGAATCCTATGATATTTTGAAGGATCTGGATGCTATTTGGCCTTCTATTTCTATGAAGCAACTTCTAGCGATTGCACCAGAGTGTCGTTCTACATTGAATTTATCGTTAACTCGGCATAAGCAACTTAATAAGGAAGTTTGTGAAATCAATTTGAACTCTAACCCAGGTGCATCAACCATGAATGTTTCGATTGACAGTGTTATGATCTTGGGTATTCAAGTGGATGGTGTTTCCAGCGTCAAATGTAATGAATGCTGATACAATGAATGCTTTAAATTTGGAACACTTAGTATCCACGTCATTGGTATCATAGATGGCCATTCATTACCGGATTAAATCAATGGATATTTTATAGAGTGTTCAAACTATAATTATTGATATTACATATAAAATCGACTATATTGTCTTTCGGTTACAACGTTCAATTTTATCATATCCAATTTTATTGGGACAACTCCGGCTTTATCAAGCAAAGGCCAAGAACGATTGGGATCGGAGAACTTTGACAATTGACAAGGGTGGAGACAAAATGGTGTTATAAATGTACCCAGTATACTATCATAGGGAGTCTCAATTATCAGCATTTGAATTGACGTCGGATAATGAGATTAATTCCAATGATGACACAGTAGCACTGATTACAGAGGCACTCGTGAAGGTAGCACAATATCTTGAGTGGTGTACCAATGTAGAGGTCCCAGAGAGTATTTGATATACCCAATGGATTTAGAAAACTCTGATTATGTTAGTATTGATTGGATGACCAAGTATGATGTGTACCATGTTAGTGTCCTGGACATAGGATTTAATACTTCGAGTATGTCGAACTTACTGACTGATTTTAAATGAGCGCAGGAGTTGAAATAGAACATTGTTATTGCACCTTTATGTCAAATTATCAACTTAGTGACCACAACAGAACCTTGGTGTCATGTTGTGGTTCAGCTACTATATGAAAATAATGTAATTATTTATTTAATATATAATATACTAAATAACATGATGAAAGCCATATTAATAGATTTTAGTTGGTTGAAGAATATAATTTGATTATTACTTTGAAAAGAGGTTGTTTAAAAAGATTACTATAGAATTTGTATAACTTTAATTTCTTTTGATAGTCGCTTATAGGATTGGTTTTGGTTGATAGTAACTTCTAAAGATTTAGAATCACCTTTGTTAAACTTTGGTAATCTTTGAAAATTTATTTTAATTTTTTTATTTGGTGTTAGAGCATAAATTATATAAATCTTAAAAGAAAAAGGATTGAAGAAGGGTTTTGGTTGCAAAGGAAGTAATTAGGGAACCAATATAGATGAATGAAGATGGATGATGAAGATCTCCATTCCTATTGGTCAAAAATCATGACCTATAGGCTTTGAGGAGGCTGCCTGAGGCCATATTAGAGATTAGGGTTAGTTTCTCAAAGCCATTCGAGCTTTGAAGGCTAGGGTCAGCAAGTTTAGGTTTTTGGCTATGGTTTTGGTGCAAGTTTTGTATGGTTTGGAGTTTATATGAAGAAGATACAAGCACTCAAAGTTAAGGTGTTGATTTGGGAGCTACTGTCACTCTTTTTGGCTTAACGCACACATACTAATAGCAATGGAAGATCGGCGACTGCGACTAAAGAGAATATATTTGCGGCTATACTTTTCACATATTACTTGCTGGATTTGAAGTAGGAATAAAGGAATTATTGGATTTTGAAGTCAGCACATACAATCTAAGGGTAGTAAGTGACCCAATTTACTAATGGTTGTGTCTTGACCTATATCTTGAGCAATTTGACAAGATTTTGGCTCAAAATTTCAAGAAATGTTTAAATTTATATGAATAAAGTTTTTTCATAAGTTTGATGATATTTGAGTATTGGATTCTTGAGATATTAAGAAAATAAAGTTCGGATGCTTGTAAATTAGGGTTTAGAACATCTACTAGGATTCCTTAGATGCTTGAAGATCGGGAGTGAATTTGCACTTGGTTTTTTTTGCGATAAAATAAAAGAGTAAATTTTATCTTACCTATAAATTTGAGACAAAATGAATAATTAGATCAAGAGTTATGATTTTCTAAAGGTCATAAAGTCAAAATCCTTCGCAGAAAAAATATGTTTTTTAAAGAATTTTGTTATATTTTGAATTTTATGCAAAATAAAGGAGTTTTGGAAGCTAAGACAAGATTCATATAAAGGTTTAAGCTATACTCACTACAACTAGATACCCAGTGTATTCCCACATAGCAAATCATGCCATACGACATCGGACAATTAAGGTCTACGAAGGTATTTAAGAGCAAGAATTGACCTGCTGAACAAAAATTTTCATGAATCATAAATCGGCTTTTGCTTGGACTTATGATGATTTAAAAAGTATTTCTGCTGAAGTCTATGAGCATCATATCATTTTAGAGAAGAATGCTAAACCAATATGTCACAGGCAACATCACCTTAATCCAAAATATTTCTTCATAGTGAAGGAGGAATTGGACAAGCTTCTTGTGGTTGGTTTTATTTACCTTGTACCAAATAATGAGTGGGTTTCTCCAATCGTGATGGTGCCAAAAAAGAATGGAAAA